AGGGGCAGGGGAAGGCAGCCTCACCACTCCTTCCACGGGGACCAAGGTCCAGCTAAAGTAAGAGGTCACAGAGAAGAGTACTAATTAAAAAATTTAAAAGTACAAGGTAAATACACTAATTAAAATTTTAAAATGGGTTTGGAGAAAAGAAAATATCACTCCCCTTTGGTTTATGATGAGGTCTGTGGAAAGTTCAAGGTTATGTACATATAAAGAGCAAATAACGAACATTAGTAAGGCCATTGCACATAAGCTGTACAAAAGTCAGGAGCGGGGCTGGGGATTTAGCTCAGCGGCAAAAGCACCTGCCTGGCATGTGCAAGGTCGTGAGTTCGGTTCCCGGTACCAGAGAAAAAAAAAAAACAAAAGTCAGGAGCATTCTTATCCACTGGCGATAACCAGAAAATACAGCCTTTACCCCAGGTGTGGTGGCACACACCTGTAATCCAGCACGCGGGAGGCTGAGGCAAGAGGATCATCCAGAGGTCAACGCCAGCCTGGGCTACAGAGTGAGACCCAGTCTCTCTCTCTTTTTTTTTTTTTTTTTTGAGACTCAGCCTCAAAAAGAAAAACAAAACAAAGCAAATAGAACTTTTATGTAACACCGCCCGGAATACCAATATTTATTAGATAGGAATATAATGCTAACGATAGATGCGTCAGACCATTCAAGGAAGCTTTTTAACACTAAGGACAAAAGGAGACCTAAGCAAATGAAGACATGAACATGCTAACATTAGTCATTAAAAGAATCAGAATTTAAAAAGATGACAATTTTCTTCAGATTAACCTCTAAGGTTAATGTAGTTACAACTAAAATTCCAGCAAGGGTTTTCATATTAAAAATTAATAGTGTGGCCGGGTGTGGTGGCGCACGCTTGTAATCCCAGCACTCGGGAGGCTGAGGCAGGAGGATCGTTGTGAGTTCGAGACCAGCCTGGGCTCCAAAGTAAGCTCAAGGCCAGCCTGAACTGCACACTGAGACCCTGTCTCAAAAAGACAAAAAAAAAAAAAAAAAGAAAGAAAGAAAAATTAATAGTGTGGCCAGGCATGTGGCGCATGCCTGTAATCCCAGTACTTAGGAGGCTGAGGCAGGAAGAGCGTTGCAAGTTTGAGACCAGCCTGGGCTACAAAGTGAGCTCAAGGCCAGGCCGAACTGTACAGAGAGACCCTGTCTCAAAAAGACAATAAATAAATAAATAAAATTAATAAAAATGCCAGGCATGGTGGCACACTCCTGTAATTCCAGCACTCGAGAGGCTGAGGCAGGAGGACTGTTGTGAGTTTGAGACTAGCCTGGGCTACAAAATGAGTTCAAGGCCAGCCTGAACGGCACAGTGAGACCCTGTCTCAAAAAGACGTAACAATAAAATAAGTAAAAAAGAGTAAGAGACAAGAATAATGGAGATAACTGAAAGAAAATAAAGGAGGAAGCAATGGCCTTACTAGGCAGCAAAACCTATCAAAGTAAAAGCCGGGCGTGGCGGCGCACACCTGTAATCCCAGCACTCCGGGAAGTTGAAGCAGGAGGATCTCAAGTTTGAGGCCAGCTTGGGCTATTTAGTAACTCAAAAAGACAATGTTTCAAAGTAAAAATAAATAAATAAATAAAAACTGGGATGTAGTTCAAAGCAAAGGCCTTGGATTCAACCTCCAGTGCAGTAAAAAAAATTTTTTAAACTGTTATCAGTCATGCAGAAAAGTGTGGATTGAGGGACAGCCTCGTGATACACAGTGTTGGGCGTGCTGGGCAATGGCGGCGGGTGGGGGAGACCACATAGATAAGCCCTCGCCTTGGATCTTGTCCTCACAGCGGGACGTCGCGCACGGCCGACCCGCAGGGAGGCCCAACCCAGGCGCTGGCACCGGACAGCGGGTCCTGGCTTTCCCACTGGCTCCGCTGGCCAGGCAGGAGGCCGCTGGCCAGCGCCAGGCAGGTGAGCGGCCAGGCCAGGGCCACCGCTGGGCCTGCAGGGCCAGCACAAGACAGCAGTGATGGTGTATGTATTCACCAGTATGTGAGGACATTATACTAGCCGTGATGGTGAGCAGCCACCGCACACCTTGAAGACGCTGAAAGTCTGTTCCCACGGAGAGAAAGTGCGGTCGTGGAAAGGGGGGCCGTGTGCTGGTAGAAACCCTGCAGAGCCGCCTCGCGGGGCCCAGCCAAGCGACGGGTGGAGGAGGCCATGTGTCTCAGTTGTCTCCTGCTGTGGGACACAGGCCTGACATCCGCAGCCTCAAGGAGGAGAGGGTTAGTCTCACGGTTGGGGGGACTCAGTCCATGGTGGGCAGCTCCAGGGCAGGAGCGTCATGGTGCGAGGGGCTGGTGCCGCGAAGCTGCTTGGTGCATGGTGGCTGGGACCCAGAGGCGGGGAACAGGCAGGAGGATCTCCCTGAGTATGAGACCAGGCTGGGCTACATTATGAGTTCAAGGCCAGCCTGAACTGCATAGGGAGACCCTGTCTCAAAAAAATTAAGCCAAATATAATATGCACATTTTATTAACAAATACACTGTAGTAAAAGTATGCATGGGTATGAACCCCCATGGTTGCTAGGACAGGCTGGAGATTGAATTGTTTGTTACTTTGTATTTCCTTGAAAAGTTTCAGCTCCTACACAAGACAAAACCTGCTGTCTTTTGAATGCCTTTGGGGGGTGGTAATGAACACACTGCTAGATTTTTTTTTTTTTTTTTTTTTGAGACAGGGTCCCACTATGCAGTTCAGGCTGGCCTTGAGCTCCCTTTGTAGCCCAGGCTGGTCTCAAACTCACAATGATCCTCTGCCTCAGCCTCCCAAGTGCTGGGATTACAGGGGTACACCACCTCGCCCAGCAAAATAATCAGATTTTAAGGGGGAGAAATGAGTAACCAGCTGTTCAATCAAGGACAGCACAACCCCCCTCCCCCTGGTTTTGGTTCCATCAGCTACTTAAGAGAACTAGTATCTGTAAGGTGTCATAAAACCTCAGCATTAGGACGTGGTGGCCCACATCTGTAATCCCAGCACTAGGAAGGCTGAGGCAGGAGGATCGTTCTGAGTTCAAGACCAGCCTGAGCTACAAAGTGAGCTCAAGGCCAGCCTGAATTGCATAGCAAGACCCTGTCTCAAAAAGACAAAAACAAAACCAAAAAAATAAATAAATAAAAGCTTGGCATTGGTAGAAGCACATTTTAGGCCCCTGTGCCAGTTGTTAAGAATGTGTTCCAAGGCCGACTTCCTCTCATATTGCTCTGTTTTGTTTTTGAGCCGAGGTCTCAACATGTAGCCCAGGCTTGCCTCAAACTCCTGGCGATCCTCCTGCCTCAGCCTCCCCAGTGCTGGGATTATAGGCGTGCACTGCCACCTGACTCATGGCCAGTTTATTACCTGGGCTGTCCAGTGAGGACCCAAAGACCACAGAAAATGCTGTGCTATGGTTCTGTTTACTGTCTCTCCAATGGAGGCCCAACTCCCAAAGGAACATTTATGGCCAGGCAAGCAGCCCTCGGGAAAGATCCCAGAAGTTTGCTGACTTTAGAAAAGGAAAAGGCTGCAGCCAGCGTTGGCCCAGGCACCGCACTCAGAGCTGGGACGTCAGCCCAGACCTTCTGCGGGTGCCACCGCGGCTCGCTCACCTGCGGGTCACAGCCGAGGCCTGGTGGGCGGGGAGGCCAACTCCTCTCGGATGGCAGGGGCCGTGCTGAGCCCTTGGCCCTCGCCTGACCGCACCGTCCCCACCTGGCCTCCAAGATGCGCTCCCCGTGACACGCTTATTCCAAGATAATTTTCAGAGAACACAAGCCCCACTGCAGGCTGAGAGGACTGCACAGGGAGCATTTTCACTTTGTTGCTGGAGAGAAAGAGCCAGGCGCCTTAGCTGCCTGTCAGAAAAGTCAAATAGCACGGAGTTTATTTTGACACAGAAGAGTCAAAGAGCAGTTGTCTTTTCTTTTCTTTTTTTTTTTTTTTTTTTGGAAGAATAACTGTCTCAGGCTGATGGCAAAATATATAATCTAGTAGTCAGCCAGGCATGGCAGTGGCATCTGTCATCCCAGCACTCTGGGAGGCTGAGGCAGAAAGACCTCAAGTCTGAGCCCAGCCTGGGCAACTGAGAGACTTGGTGAGGCCAATTCATTACAAAATATGATTAAGGTACATAAGTAACAAAAGTGCCTTTCATAATATTTTTATGTTTATTATAACATTTAAAAGAGGGGAGGCTGGGCATGATGACACATGCCTGTAATCCTAGCACTTGGGAGGCTGAGGCAGGAGGATCGTAGCGAGTTTTGAGACCAGCCTGGGCTACAAAGTGAGCTCAAGGCCAGCCTGAACTGCATAGCGAGACCCTGTCTCGAAAAAGGCAAAAAGAAAAAAGAGGGGAGAAAAGGTAGCTGTAGGTTAGACACACTCAAGGAATGTGGCATGAAAAACAAACGGAAAACCGTGTTGCACACCTTTAATTCCAGCACTCAGGAGGCTGAGGCTGGAGGCTCTCTGCGAGCTCAAGGCCAGCCTGATCTGCATAGACCCTGTCTGAAAAAGAGAAAAAAAAAAAAAAAAAAAAAACAACCTGCAAAGTCCCAGGGTTCAACCCCCAGTACCAAAAAAAGGAGGCATCTCAACCTCCTGGCAGATCTGTGATCAGGGCTGTGATCCCCAGCCTAGCACACTTAGAGGCCCCAGGGTGGCCAGGACAAGCCCCTGCACAGGACACCAGGCAGCTCGGTCACGGCAGAGCCCACAGCGACGGGAAGCACCTGCATGCAACACCCAGCCCCTGAGAACAGCACAACCCAACCCTGCGGCGAGCCCTGCACCCACCAGCCCGGCCCCCCGGCACCTCCACCCACGGAGCAGGACTTGGGCCCTGCAGGTCCGGCGCTGCTGCCTCCCCCGCGGCCTTCCCATCCTGACCTCGCTCTCGAGCCACTTAGGACGTTGGTTCCCCCCTTGATGAGAAGGACAGACTGCACTGCGCCCCCGCCCATCTGTGTCAAAATCGTGCTCCTACCTTGGGAGGGAAGGAGCTGGCGTCAGAGGTGTGCGGCAAAGTGTGACCGAGGTGCGCGGCCCTGCTTTATAGGTCACAAGTCACACCTCTCCACGGGACAAAGTCCCCGCCCGCCAGAAGCAGATAAACAGGTCGTGCGGTGCAGGCTCAGGGCTCTGGACCCCTCCACGGCAGGATAACGCCGGGCCGCGCAGCCTCCTGGCTCGCGCCCACCCCTGCCCCTGGCCACGCCAAGAGCTCATCCTGGCCGCTTTATTTTAAACGGGCTCTGAAAACAACAGGTGACCTTTTCCACGGTGCAGGGACAGCAACCCCAGGACACAGTGTTAGTCAGCAAGGCCTGGGCCCGGCCCAAGTTGGACCACACGCTGTGAACTGTGCCAGGCGCCTTGGCACGGCCGGCCCACAGCTAGGATGTCACTCTGAGCAGGACCGCGCGGTCTCCCGGACCTGTGCCCAGGGGCTGAGTGCCCGTGTCTTCCTGGTGTGTGCATCACAGCTGTGCGGCCGAAATGTCCAGCCCTAGGGAAATGCCTGCAGAGACAGGGCGCCGGGCACACACCATGTTCAAGGCCAATAACCCGCGCCGTGTGTGTGTGCGTGTGTGTGTGTGTGCGTGTGTGTGTGTGTGCGTGTGTGCCTGTGCGCCCGCGGTGACTGTCACCGCGGCCTCGGGCTCGGAGGTGACTCCTGGGGCAGCGCTTGCCTAGCCGGCACAAGGCCCGGGGCAGTTCCCAGCGCAGGGAAACAGAAAGGAAAGAGCGCAGGGGGCAGGGACTGCCGGCCGCACCCGCGTAGGCGAAACCCTTCTCCCGCGCACGCCAGGCAAACGCGCGACTTCCCGCAGCGCGGACCCGCCCCGCCTGTCCCCAGCGCCCGCACCTACCCCGTCCCGCGGCCTGAGGACCCTGAGGACACCGAGCACTGCAACGCAGCGGGAGACCGGGGAGGAGCCCTGGCCACCTAGGCGGGGAGATCGGGAGCTGGGAGAGACTGGGCTGCGACCCAGATTCCTGTCTGGGAAAGCCGGGGTCACGGGAGAGGGAGGCCTCGCAGGGAGACAGCCAGCCTGGACTTCTAGGCTCCTGGCCGGCTCCTGAGGCCTGTCATCTCGCTGCTGTGAATCACCATGAGGCTATTTTTTAAAAATAAACTACTACACATTTCACACATCACCCCACACACATACACATGTCTGAATTTTGTCTTCTGGTCCCCTCACCCACGCTGGAATACCAACACTCTGGGAGGCTGAGGCAGGAAGATCACAATTTGAGCCCAACCTGAGCAACTTGCTGAGTTAGGGAGGCCCTGTCTCAAATAAGAGGAGAGCTGAGGCGGTAGCTCGGTATGAAAGCCTCGGGCTCGGGCCTGAGGGAAGGAGGGAGCCGGAGGAAGTTCCAGAACAGTGCCGCTGGCCTCTCGCCCTCCATGGGAGGAGGAAGTGCAGCCGTCAGCGACGGAGAGGCCGAGAACTCACTCAGACTGCAAGGGGAGATTTCAGAGCAGGATGGAGTCACAGCCAGGCTGCCTCTTGGGCACAGAGGGCTCGAGGTGAGCAGTTCACAAAGTGGAGAGCCCAGGAGGGCCGGAGGCTACGAGGGGCCATAGCATGCAGCGCCCCCTGCAGACGGACGTGGCTTCCTACTGAAAGAAACTGCTATAACACTGCTTTGTCTTTTGCTTGCTTCGCTTTTTGAGACAGGGTCTCGCTGTGTGTTCTAGGCTGGCCTCAAACTCACAAGGTAGCCCAGGCAGGCCTCCCACTTGCAGCAACCCTCCTGCCTCAGCCTCCCAAGTGCTAGGATCACAGGCATGCACCACCACAGCTAGGTGTAAGACTTTGTATCTTTCACCATCTTTGTGGTGCAGTTTCTGCGGGAAGAATAAATGTGACTCGTTGCATATCGTTTTCTCCGCTTGCTAAATTTAGCTTCCTGAGCAACTTCTGATTTAACAACACTGTTATTAATAGAAGGATATATCCACACAGACTGCTGCAGCTTGCTGCCCGCTGGTGAAGCTGTGTGCGTTTGTGCAAAGGTGACGTCTGCTCGGGAAAGAGTGCTGGGCCTGAGCACGCCGCGCAGGGCAGCAGCCTTTGTCTCCTGTGCCCTGGGCCACGGGTGACAAAGCTCACTTCTCACAAACCCTGAGTTTTGCAGGACCGAAGCTGCGAGTGTGTGAAAGTGGCCAGCGGCCTCCTTACTCACTCCGCGTCCACACTGACCCGCAGACAGGTCCCGTGTCTTTGGACTCAGCTTCCTTAGTTATAAGACAAGGGGTTGTGCTAGGTTTGCTCCCCAAACCCCAGAAGGCACTGGAGTCCCCGGAGGGACTGGGAAACCGCACCCTAACCCCAGTGCCTGCTGTTCTTGGGGTCCCAGTGCACCCCAAGAAGCTGAACCTCTGGGAGATCCGGCCGTGCATGTGCGATGCGTGCTGCAGGGACTCAGCTTGCGTGATGGCTACAGTGTTCTGTGTCCCAGCGCCGAAGGGCGGGGTCCACATGCAGCAGAAGGTCACAGGAGAAAGCTCAGCAGCCCGCTGGAACCCGAGAGCTAATCTTGTGCTGTGGCTCGAATCTCCACGGCTCCCACAGCCACATGCCTCAGCCCTCCAACTCTGGGACTATGAGCAGGTGCCGCCACGGTGAGGGTCTTCTTCCAGCTTGCCAGTGAAGGAGTTTGTCTCGGAGGTGGCTGGATCTAGGGTGTGTGACTAAACGGGTGTGGCATAGTTCTGGGTGTGGAGAACGGAAGCCTCACCCTGGGTGTGTGGCACCAATCAATAGGCTTGTATCCCAGATGGAATAAAAAGGGTTAGAAGGCTGCTGGCTGCCTCCTGCCTGCCCTGCCATGGACTGTTTCTCTTCTTGATCCACCCCGCATCCGTGGACTGAACCGCTACAAACTGCGTGCTACAATAAACCTTTTCTCCTTTACCTTCAGGCATCAAGTATTTTGTCTCCGCAGTGAGAAAAGTAACCAAGATAGTGGGAAATCCACGGGAACAGCATCCATCCTGTGGCCTCTGACCTTCCTGATGGAGCTGGAGCTGCTCAGGGAGCTCCCACTGCACCCCGGGAAGATACAGCAATCCGACCAGCCTGCTCCTCCTACCTGGAGCCGGAAACACACAGGAATGGCACTCTGGGACTGAAGCCTGCCTGGACCAGTGCCACGCTACCAAGCTGCCGGAGTATGCTGCCTGTGCTTGTGCCCTGCAATCGTGTTTTGTTCTGAACGCTTCTGCCCCAGATTCTGACGCCGAAAGCCTAACCCCAAAGTGAGGGTATTAGCAGGTAGGGCCTTTGGGTCACGAGCACAGACCCTGTGGAAATGGGTTAGCAGCCTGTGAGAGGAGACGCCAGACCAACTTCTTCATCTACAAGCTGGAAGAAGCCCCTCACCCTGGTGGCACCTGCTCATCATCCCAGAGTTGGAGGGCTGAGGCAGGAAGGCCAGCCTGGGGCTTTTTGGTTTTATTTTGTTGTTTTTTGGTTCAGAGGATTTTTGGTTTGGTTGATTGGTTTTGTTTTGGTTTTGTGTTGGTTTTTATTTTTGTTTTTCTGAGACAGGGTCTCACTATGCAGTTCAGGCTGGCCTTGAGCCACTTGGTAGCCTCCAGCTCTTGGTGATCCTCTTGCCTCAGCTTCCCACCTGGGTACATAACAAGTTCAAGGCCAGCCTGGACTATATAGCAAGACCTTGTCTCAAAAGACAGAAGAAAAAGAAGGCACTCACCAAGACCCAACCCCAAAAGGAGCCTTGGGAAGGTTTGCTGGCTCAGCCACAGGGTCTGTGCGGTTCTGTTCTAGCAGCCCCAGTGCACCAAGACCACAAAGACCGACGCCAGACCACCTTCAAACAGCCCTGCTCATAGCAGTCGGAAATCCTGGGCTCGAATTACTGACTGCGCTGGGTTTCTCTGCAATAGTGTGTAGGCAGGAAGCCGGGCGTGGTGGCGCACGCCTGTAATCCCAGCGCTTGGGAAGCTGAGGCAGGAGGATCGTTGTGAGTTCGAGACTAGCCTGGGCTACAAAGTGAGCTCAAGGCCAGCCTGAACTGCATAGCTGTCTCAAAAAGACAAAAATAAATAAATAAATAAATAAATAAAGTATGTAGGTATCTATTTAAAAAATGATAATAATTAAAAGAAGTCATCAAAGTGTTATGATCCAGAACAAACTGAGGACCAGCCCTAAACACAAAATCTTTCTATCCTTTATTTTTTTTCGTACCAGGAATCAAACTCAGGACTTTGCACTTACCGGGCAGGTGCTGTGTCACTGAGCTACAACCTCAGCCCAAATCGTTCCATCTTAAACAAAAATGCTAGCCAGGTATTGGGCCCACACCTGTCGTCCCAGCACTCTGGGAGGAGGAGCAGGAGGATTGCAATTTCGAGCCCAGCCCGAGCAATTTAGTGACTTAATGAGACTCAATGTCAAAATTTTTAAATAAAAAGAGCTGGGGACGCAGCTCACTGCCAGCGCCCTGGCTTCAATCCCCAACCCCTCCCCCCTCGAAAAAAACTAACGAACAAAAGCTGGAGCTGCTTATGACACCCCAAATGACAGTTTCTTAGCTTCACCAATTTTAGTTTCAGATGCTCCCGGCCAATGCACACAGGAGCGAATGTTTACCCTGGACTCTTAACAAAACCGAAGTTCCCTCCTGCGGGAGCTCTGTCGGGGGTGGGGGGTGGGAGTGGTGCCTTGGTGCCGCTGTGTTCCTTGTGAGGCGCAGCCATGACTCAGCAGCCCGCCGGTTACTCTGCAGGGCGATGTTGTTATTTTATTATGCAATCAGGAACTAAATTCCAGGACCCGAGTGAGGCCAGGCGGAGCTAACAAGCAGGGCAAGGGTGAGGCTAACCAAAGGGCCGGCTAGGCTCAGCCCCCACAGATGGGCTCCTGGTCAAGGTCAGGAGGACATTCGGGGTCCCAGGGACTGGGGAGGGAACCTGAAGCGGCCCTGGGGAGCTTCCCGAGGCTCCGCTCAGGGATCCCCAGGGGACAACATTTCCCCCACCTGGCTGACTCAGCCTTGTCAGTGCAGCGGTGCAGCGGCAGGGAGCCAGCGCGAGTCAGAGGCCTCCGGGCCGGTGCGGGCTGGGCTGGATAAAGAAGGAAGCAGCTGCTTCTGGAAGGTTTCTGGGCCAGTGAGCCGCCTAGCTCCCCCTAGACAGAAGGCCTCAGTCACTTCTCTATTTTTACCTTCTTTTTTTTTCTTTTGAGATAGGGTCTTACTATGTAGCCCAGGCTGGCTTCCAACCTGTGGAGATCCTCCTGCCTCAGTCTTTTGAGTGCTGGAATGGTGGGCCTGAGCCACCTCACCTGGCTACTTTTACTTTTTATTACGAAAATATACAAATTTGTGGGAAACTAAAAAGAATACGAAGCACTCCCATCACTCTCAGTTGTAGAAGAATTACGGATATCTTATTACATTTGTTTCAACTCTTTTTCCTCTACGCTATAGGAATTACAAATAAAAGGACATTTCACTCCTTATTAATTCCATGGTAGTCAGCCTCGGGGGTCCACACCCATACCCCACTCTGCCAACAGGCGGCGCTCTGGGAGGCGGAAGGTAGGTTCTTTTATTTCTGCAGTCTCTCTTTATTTGTGTGTCTTTTTGAGACAGGGTCTTGCTGTGCAGTTCAGGCTGGCCTTGAGCTCACTTTGTAGCCCAGGCTGGTCTCAAACTCACGGTGATCCTCCTGCCTCAGCCTCCCCAGTACTGGGATTACAAGCATGCACCCCCATGTCTGGCTTTCTGCAGTCTTTTTTAACCTCAAATAACTAAGTGGTGATGTTAAAATATGTCTGCAGATGCTTTGATTCTTAGACGAGGCGTGAGATACAGATAGAGTGTACTAAGTGATTCACTTTTAAAACATACAATGTGGGCCGGATGTGGTAGTGCACACCAATAATCCCAGCACCCTTTAGGCTGGAGCAGGAAGATTGCTGTGAGCTCCAGGCTACATAGCAAGTTCAAGGCCAGTCTGAAATGCATAGCAAGACGCAAAAACTAAAAATAATAAAAAATGTAAAAATTGAATATGGTAGCCGGGCGTGGTGGTGCACATCTGTAATCCCAGCACTCGGGAGGCTGAGGCAGGAGGATCGTCATGAGTTCGAGACCAGCCTGAGCTATAAAGTGAGCTCAAGTCCAGCTGGAACTGCATAGCGAGACCCTGCTTAAAAAAGACCAAAAAAACAAACAAACAAATGTGGTGACCGTGACAGCTTTTGACCTCTGAGACTAGGTCACCAAAAGCACTGTGCCCCTCTCTTGGAGCAAGGTGGGATATGATTTACTGTTTTCCGTCTGGGAGTGCAGACAGCCTCTGTTTACGGTGAGATCGCATCGCGATGGACCCAGTCCCCCAGCTGACACCGTGCGTGGGGTGCCAGTGTCTCCTCCGGACGGCTTGGGCATCCCAGGGACAGGGATGTGTGCACACAACAGTAGGTGTGTCATGGGTGTGGCAGTCGTGGTCCCCGGCCCCTGCCTCACTGGCACTGTGCCACTTCTCAGCCGCTGTGAAGCAACACGCCCCTCTGCCAAGCCTTCTTCCCCGAGGCCCCAGGAGCTGGGGCCTCCATCCTGCACCGCAGAGCCCAGGCAGCGTGTCTCCGCCCGGGAAGACTCAAGTTCAAGAGCTGAAGTAGAGGTTCTGCTCTGCGCGTGTTGCTCTTGAAGCTTGGCGAAGTCACCATGTCAAATCCTGTGAGACAATGCCTGACTTAGAGCAGGCAGAGAGGCTGACAGTGTGTCCTCTACGCCGCTCATCTTTCCTGTGAACTGACTTAAATTTAGGGGCCTACTGTAAGGATATTTATTGGCCTTACCCGTCCAGATAATCCAGGAAGATCTTGTCTCAAAGATCTTTAAACAGATGTAATAGTGTGTTCCTAAATCCCAGTACTCTGGGAGGCTGAGGCAGGGAGATTGCAATTTCAAAGCCAGCCTGGGCAATTTAATAAAACTATCTCCAACAAAAAAATAAAACAAAACAAAGGTTGTAAATAAGGAAACAGCCATAGATTCTAGGTATCAGGACACAGGCCCCATGCTGTGTGCAGGCTTCCCCCAGGCCTCAGCGGAGGAGCTCTCTGAGTCGGTGCAGGTGTGCTGTCCAGAACTCAGTAGGGCAGCGTCTTGAATATCCATACAAGTCACTCGGGGACTGAAAAACTAAGAGGAAGCAAAACTGCTGCAAGCCTAAAGCTCTTCCACGTAGAAAGACGGCTATGTGCATCAGCACAAAGGCGTTTGGATTCTAGGGTCCCTGTTAGAGCAGAAGTCACCAGGGGAGTGCAGGACTGTGGATCCGGTCACTCTTTGGGGGCCACAGAGGCAGGGTATGGAGGGCAGGCCACATGCTATCAAGTGGCAAGTTCCCTTCATTCTCCATCTCTCCAGCCCTGGGGCTCACAGCTGACAGAGTGCTGTGCCTGCTACTCAGCGAACTTGTAAGAAAGGGCCGGAAACCCGGTGAATGTGAAAATAGGAGGTTTGCTTGGCAGACGGATGTGTATTCAGTACTTGTGTTCCACAGGTAGTTAAGAGAATTTAGAAGCCAGGTGTGGTGATGCACACCTGAATTCCCGGCACTCGGGAGGCTGAGGCAGGAGGATCATTGCAAGTTCGAGACCAGCCTGGGCAACAAAGTGGGCTTAAGGCCAGCCTAAACTGCACAGTGAAACCCTGTCTCAAAAAGAAAAAAGAAGTCAGGCATGGTGGTGCATACCTGTAATCCCAGCACTTGGGAGGCTGAGGCAGGAGAATCACTGCCAGTTTGAAGCCAGCCTGGGCTACTAAGTGAACTCAAGGTCAGCCTGAACTGCATAGTGAGACCCTATCTCAAAAAAAAGACAAAGAGAAAAAAAAAAAAAAAAGAGAATTTAAGGGCCAATGGGAAGATGAGATGTGCACCACCAATTTATTTATTTATTTATATATTTATTTTGTCTTTTTGAGGCAGGGTCTCACTATGCGAACTCATGACCTTGCGCTTGCCAGGCAGGTGCTTTTGCCACTGAGCTAAATCCCCAGCCCCCATTTCAGGCTGGTCTTGAGCTCACTTTGTAGCTCAGGCTGGTCTTGAACTCTCGATGATCCTCCTGCCTCAGCCTTCCAAGTGCTGGGATTACAGGCGTGTGCCACCATGCCCGGCTATTTTTTTGTCTTTTTGAGACAGGGTCTCGCGATGCAGTTGAGGCTGGCCTTGAGCTCAAGGTAAACATCACCATAGTTATTCCCAAAAACTACCCTCGGGGATGCTGGAAACCTCCTACCAACAAATCCATGCCATTGCTGCCTGTGTCTGGCCGCCAGCATTGCAGACTTTCTAAGGTTCAATTAAAACACTGCAGGTTACATTTTATTTTTTTATTTTTTTATTTTTTGGTTTTTCTCCGGTACCAGGAACCGAACTCACGACTTTGCGCTTGCCAGGCAGGCGCTTTGCCGCTGAGCTAAATCCCCAGCCCCTACATTTTAAAACATCTCCGCCTTTCCATCCTCAGACCTTGTATGCAAGCCCTGCTCTCAGCCCCCGTGTCTCTTGTTTGCAGGTATCCCATGGGCTCAGGTGGCTTTGAGGTCGCAGCTCGAGGGTATGGCGAGACCTGGGTGGCAAGGCGCAGACTTCGGCGCTCGGCTTCCTGAGTGCAAATCCTAGCTTCGCAGCTGCATGGTCACTCGGTGCCTGCAGCTTCTAAATGGGCTAGATCCACTGACTTAAATACTACCACATCCGCAAAAGACCTCACCAGCAACATCCAGACTAGTGTCTGCCCAAACCACTAGGCAGTGCAGCCGAGGGAGTGACACATCAGGGTGACCGCGACGCTGTGTGGGCAGTTCAGGCGCACTCCCGTTCAGGGCAGGTGCCCTCAGCCACCTGGCTGTGCAGACGGAGGACGTGAATGGACGGGAGGTGAGGAGGCGGACCGGTGAATATGACAGTTGAATGTATTTATTTTATTTTTGTCTTTTTGAGAGACAGGGTCTCACTATGCAAAGGACTAAGCAAATGCACCCACATACCTCCCTAGGGATGGACATCAGAGATTGATGTTTTTTGTTTTTTGTTTTTTTTTTTTTTGGTACTGGGAATCAAACTCAGGACCTTGCACTCGCCAGGCAGGCACTCGTGCCGCTGAGCTACATCCCGGGCCGGCCCAGGGATTGACATTCTAAATAGGTAGCGATCACCTTGAAGAGTTCCTGACCCAACCCCTTACAGGAAAAGCCCCTGTTTTGTATCCATGCCCGCTTGCTATGTGACTCGCTTCCCCATTTGATCCCGATGTAATCAATGTTACCTGAACAATTCTTATTGGCTGACCATAGTTTTGTCCATTTTCCCTCCACCTTGGACCCACCTCACCTTGTGGTTTTGCGCTACAAAAGTCCCTAGAAAAGACAGAGTCTTCGGCAACCCCCTTGGCCCCACTTTTGTCCCTTTCTTGGACAGAAGTTTCCTTTCCCTCAATAAATATATTCTGCTCTTAACCTTCGTTGTTCCTAAAATTCATTCTTTGATTTTAGAGAACACGGACTCGTCCCAGATGTCGTTCAGGTTGGGAGTTTTTATTTTTCTGTATCAATCCCAGCACAAAGGAGGCTGAGGCAAGAGGACAGCTGTCAATTTGAGGCCAGCCTGGGTTACATAGTGAGTTCAAGGCCAGTCTGAAGTACATAGTGTGAGACTATCTCAAAAAACAAAGAATGGAGTACGAAGTTTCATCAAACATAGCCCTTCCGCTGGGGGTATAGCTCAGCGGCACAAGCGTTTGCCTGGCAAGCCTGAGGTCATGAGTTCGATTCCCAATACCAAAAAAAAAAAAACCACAGCCCTTCCGTTCCATTGACTCCAGGCTATCACCTCACATACCGACTGCTTAATGCAAGAGGTCACACCTAGATATTTCAGAAATAAAGATGCTAATGCAAAGGAAATGCTTATCTAATAACCCTCAGGAATCTACTGAAGTAAACCCTTGGATTAAGAAGCAAAGTATCATAAGCCACTGTAATATTTCTGCGGACAAAGTCCAAGTCACTTTGAGATAAACACTCCACTTTTACGAGTTTATAGCAGCTGTATTTATAACTGCCCCAAACTGGAAAAAGCCTCAGCACCTGCTGAACAATAGATGCGCTAGATTTTGTATCTAGCACATCTACACAGTGTCGTATACTCTGATCTAGATAGGACCAAGGTAGTCATATATCATAAAGCAAAAGGAAGGAGCAGAAAAAAGTCCGTCTCAAAGCATTCTGCCAGTCCAGTTCTACTTGTGTGACACTCCAGAAGAAAGGTAAGACTGCAGGAAAAGTGCCCGGGGATGTGGCCCAGGGGAAGAGCTGTTCAGATGTGTGAGGTCCTGGGTTTGATCCCCAGGTGTAGGGGTGGGAGGATTTCTTAAGAAGTCCTCGTTGGGACTGGGGATTTAGCTCAGTGGCACAGCACCTGCCTGGCAAGCGCGAGATCGTGAGTTCGATTCCCGGTACCAGAAAAACAACAACAAAAAAAAAAGAAATCCTTGCTGAAATCTGGAGACAAGGTTTCATTTAAATTCCTGCAAAAAGGGTCATGACAGAGGGTGAGAGAACAAAGTACAGGGAAAGCGCATTTTTCATTCAGGCTGGCTTTGAACTTGCTATATCCAGACTGGCCTCAGTCTCACAGTGGCCCTCCTGCCTCAGCCTCCTGAGTGCTAGAATTACAGCTGTGTGCCAGCACACCTGTCTCGGAAAATGTTTCCTTTTTGGAACTGCAGGGTTTACTGATGCAGAGAGCTGCTACAGAGAATGTCTCCAAGTCCCAAGAGCTCAGAAGGAATCAGGAGGGGAGAGGATCGTTTTGCTAATGAAAACATAGCAGAGGGCGGAGGTCAGAGGCCACTGTCCTCAGTTGTGTGCTGAGAGCAGGATGAGGAGCAGTCATCAAACCCCTCTGCGGCTTTTCTTCCCTCGTCAACGAGTTTTTAGGCCCAGTGATAAGCTTCTTCACTGAAGTGGGCGCACATACTGTGACTTAGCATTCAAATCTAAATGTATGGGCCTGGGGCCCGGGATGTAGCTCAGCGGCACAAGCACCTGCCTGGCAAGTGAGAGGTTCTGAGTTCAATCCCTAGTACTTGGCCGGCCGTGATGGCACACACCTGTAATCCCAGCACTCGGGAGGCTGAGGCAGGCGGATCTTTGTGAGTTTGAGACCAGCCTGGGCTACAAAGGGAGCTCAAGGCTAACCTGAACTGCACAGCGAGACCCTGTCTTAAAAAGACAAAAACAAGCAAACAAAAAAAAAGCAACAATTCCCAGCACCAAAGAAAGACAACTAAAAACAAACAAACAAAAACAATGAGTGCATGGGCTTTTCCCTGCCCCGGGACTTCTTTCTTCGAGAACTGGAGTAGGTTCTCAATAGGACGGCCTGGACCTGACCTCAGCCTGAGACGTGGGATCTCAGCACTGCCTCTGAGGACCCGGATGTAGAGGGACAGTGTGAAAGGACACAGGCCCAAGAAGAGCTTGCTGTCCTGGAGGGAGTGTCCTGGCGATAGTCCACCCTGCGTCCTCCAGGGTGTATCTTACCTGCCTTTTCCTCTTTTACTTGGCCCAAGCTCCCTCTGCAGAGCCAGTTTCTCCTCACTCTTCACGTTTACTTTTTCAAATAAGCTCTACCACTGCTTTTTCTTTTTTGCCATTGCTTTTTTTGTTGTTAAAGAAGGAAAATGTCTTGGAGAATAGGAACGAGCAGGATTGGCTCCTGAGATAGGAGGCGTCCCGGATGGGCTCCCTTACCATTGCTTTTATTTATTTATTTTTTGGGGGGGTACTGGGAATCGAACTCAGGGCCTTCCTCTTGCCAGGCAGGCGCTTGTGCCACTGAGCTATATCCCCGGCCCTGCCATTGCTTTTTGAAAAATAAAAATAAGTAAATAAATTGGTGGGCTTTCTTAAACAACTTTGCCTTTTTGTGTACGTGAGACAGAGTCTCACTAAACCCTACATCGCTGAGGCTGGGCTCAGACTTGCAGTCCTGCCTCCCCCTCTGGGGATACCCTTCGTGGGAAGGGCCTGACTCCATCCCTGGCTGGGATGCCATTTGTATGAGTTACCTACTGCTATACTATGGTGTCCTTGAAACCTGGTGGCTTCTGACAGCAGTGCGATGTTTCTCAGACCTCTGTGGATCTCCCCTGGGCTCAGACAGCTTGGACAGGCTGAGGCTGGCGGGTCTCCATGGCCTCTTCTTCATGTGCCTGGGGTTTTGGGGTGGCTGTCAGCTGATCTGCTCTTTCTGTGAGGTCCCTGGGTGCTCCCCAAGATCAAAAATGGCATTCACAACACCTCTTAGGGCCTGGTCTCACAGTTGGTACAATTGTATCGTGTTGTATTTACAGCAAGTTCCAGGCCAGCCGGATGTGGTGGTGTGCGCCTGAAATCCCAGCACTCAGGAGGCTGAGGCAGGAGGACTGCTTCGAGTTCGAGACCAGCCTAGGCTACAAAGTGAGCTCAAGGCCAGCCTGAACATCATAGGGAGACCCTGTCTCAAAAAGACAAAAAAAAAAAAAAAAAAAAGTTCCAGGCCAGCCCACAACCAAAGGGGTGGAGCAGCAGGTCCCTGTGAAGCTGCAGGGACTCTGCTGACCAGAGGCTGGGATTGTAATCTCTCGCCACACTGCGGCTGCTGACGTGTAAACTCACATGAGCATTGTTCAAGTCAGATCTTGGCCCGGAACCGAGAGGTGGATGAAATCAGGCTAAAGATATTTTGGATGGGAAGCTCCTATTCAGTCTCGCTTCAGTGCAGCCGCCCTTATTTTTAAATTCAGTTAAGGATCAGTAAGAGAAAACTGGTTTGGTGCAGAATACATCCACTACGTTAAAGCGCTATTGTTATGTAAGTGCAGGTCAACTTTCTTCCGTTCCCTAACGTCTAACTTCACAATGAGGTAGGGCTATGACAGGATCCGATTCCCAGGGAAAGATGATGGGAGGACAGAACGGAATATAGTTGTGCGCTGGAGAGACTCCGCCAGGTCCCTGCGGCGGAAGACGCAGTCGCAGGCCAGGGTCATCTGACCAACGGCTCCCACTGGGTCCCTCGGCACCGCCCTGCAGACCCTGTGGTGCTCTGGTGATGAGCAGCGACGCCTGGACGGGCACCGGGCTGCACAGAGAGTCGATCGCCCCTGCAGGCCGGGACAGTGAAAGAACCCGAGAGGAAACGTCACGATTAGGAACCTGGTTGCATGCCTGCCCCACTGGTGTCCTTCCCGCTTTGGAGCCTCTGCACTGGCAGCTGATGTGAATGTGAGCCCCAGGCCCCCTGGGTGAGTAACGAGCCTCAGGGCGTTAAGACCCGGATGCACTCCCTGACCTGCGCCTGCAGCCCCCCACCCCGGCCCAGGACCGCAGACTCGGTCTGCGCACCCTTGAGAACCTGTTTCCCTCTGACCGAAGAGTCTGGGTCCTTTCTGTTAAACCCCAGCCTGTGCTTGGTCCTGGACTGGAGGAGTGTCAGGGCCGCCCCGGCGACAGGCGGCCTTACAGGACACTGGACAGCGCCAAGTTCTGGGAGCTTAGGAGCAAGCGGAGAAGCAACGCACACGGGAGGAGAGGCAGAGAGAAAGGATGGCTTTGGGACCGAAGCGCGGGTCTGCTGACTCTGAGATGCGCCCTCAGCTGCCTGCAAGGAGCATGAGGTTTGCAAATGTGCCTGGGGGTTGGGGGTGGGGGTCGGGGGGAGCTGCCCACAGGAGGCAGCTCTTGCCGAGGAGCGCCGGGCAAGGCCGACCCCGCAAGAGTCTGCAGTGCTGCCTCAGACGGCCACGTCCTCTCCCGCAGCGAACTGCTCAGAACTCAGCTGGGTGCTGCAACTGCGTGGTTAAAAGAGTCACGAGGGGCTGGGGATTTAGCTCAGCGGCACAGCGCCTGCCTGGCAAGCACAAGGTCGTGAGTTCGAGTTCCGGTAAAGGAAAAAAAAAAAAGTCACGAGCTGTGGATGCTCCAAGTG